TCTCCTCCAGTGCCTGACAGACTCCTGACACTCTTCACACTTCACTCTTCCACGCTATGCTCCAGCCAGGCTTCTCCTGTGGAAAAACTCAGAGGGCAGAGAGGGAGCAGGCCACTGGAGCGCCCCCGCCAGTGCCACCTACCAGTCCCAGCACCTGTGAGGTTGGGCTTAGACACGGGAATGAGGATGTGGGCAAGGAGAAGAGAGCCTTGGGCCATCACCCTGAGGACTGTGCCATGCACAGAAGCCAGGGGACAGCAGATGGCCAGGTTGACATGGGACAGGATGGGGAGCCCTGGCTTCCGAGCGCTATGTGATATCCGCAGGCACAGGGCTCTGTCTCAGCCAAGGGAAACATTTTTCTTAGTTTTGCTAATTTCCAAGATTTGGACACAGTACGTCAATAATTCAGCAAACTGGCCACTGACCATGTGACCTGAAATCCTAAACTGACAAAGGCAGTAGTGCAGAGTTCTGCCGATGCCTTTGGACATTAACTTCCAAAGAATCATTGAGGACAAAAACAGGCCTCAGAGGTCATGGGAGACCAGGGACGTGCTCCCAGGGGTCACAGGGACTCTGGGGACCCTGTCCCGGGGCCCACAGGGAGGGTGGGGACCGCATTCCGGGGATCACGAGAAGCTGGAGCTGCCTGGGCCCAGGTGATCAGCTCAAGATGAGGCCAAGGTCATGTGCTCCTGGAAAACTCCCTCGTGGGCTCGTGAGGAAAAATTGAGCAGTGCTAACAATCAGTGGTGACAGGTCCCAGGCCAGTGACCGCGTCCGCCCTTCACGGCCAGCAGCCACTCCTGCTGGCTGCCCCAGCTCCCCAGTGCCCTCCTTTGCCAGCCTGTGCTCCTCAGGCTCCCAAAGGAGCCTCTGCTCAGAGCCCTCGGCTGAGGGGTCCGCTGGGCAGTGTGGCTCTGGGCCAACAAAAGCTTCACCTGCAGGCCATGTCCCTTTGTCCTCCTTGGACTTAGGGTCCAGAGCTTCAGGGGGGAAAGACCCCATCTCAGACATCATGGCTGGTTCTACAAATGAACCGAAGACAAGCAGATGAAGGTGGCAGGGGCAGGTTTATTACAGTCCGGGCATCACAGGAAAGACCAGG